TATATATAATTTCTAACTCTTAACTGCTCTAAAAAAGCACAGAATGTCATGGTTTCCCTGTCTCTGCCTCCTGTAAACATTCTTGGCCACGCCTACTTTTCCGCTCTGCACGGAGAACAGCTGATCAGCTGCAGCAGGAAGCTTGTCCCGCAGCGTGTGCTGCACAAAGGTGCAGGAGGTGCTAAATAATTAAAAAATATTTATTTTAAATAAAAAGTCCATGCTGATCATGCTGCTCATCCATCAATCAGCCAATTATGTGTCATGTCCAATCTTATTTTGAAAAACCACGATAGAGAAAGTCCGCAAAAAATGAACCGAGAAGTAGCGAGGGACTACTGTATTATGAAACAGTGTCATCCGGAATTAACCAAACAATGGACAATCCAACATACCAAAGAGCAAATTAAGATATTTAATCTAATGTGCATTATCCAGCAATACAAGCACCTATTTAAACACTTTGGACAAAGCCATGTTGTTCTGTTCAAAGACTAAGTTAGTGGCTATAGGTGAGAATAGGAATGTAGACTGACTGGTAAACAGAGAGCTTTGTCTTACAGCTCATCTCCCTCTTCACCACATTGGAGTGGCACATAGTCCGCAATACTGCAGACACTGTACCAATCCGTCTGTGAATCTCACGCTCCATTCTTCCCTCACTTGTGAACAAAATCCTGAGATACTTGAACTCCTCCACTTCAGGCAGAACCTCACCCTCGACCCGAAGATAGTGATACACCCTTTTCCGACTGAAGACCATGGCCTCAGATTTGGAGGTGCTGATTCTCATCCCAGCCGCTTCACACTCTGCTGTAACCGCTCAAGTGAACGCTGAAGATCACGGCACGATGATGCCAACAGGACCGCAGAGATGTTATCCTGAGGCCACCGAACTAGATTTCCTCCACCCACTGGCTGCACCATGAAATTATGTTCATAAAAGTTATGAACATAATCGGGCAGACCTGGCAAAGTTCAACTCCCACCCTGAAGGGGTCCGACTAACTGCCGGCAAACAAACTCGCACCGCTTGTATAGAGACCAAACAGCCTGTAGCAAGTTGCGATGGGCCCCCAATCCCATACTTGCAGAGCACACCCCACAGTGTACCCCGAGGAACATGGTCTTACACCTTCTCCAAGTCCACAAAACACATGTAGACTGGATGAACAAACTCCCATGACCCCTCCAGGACCCTAGTGAGGGTAAAGTGTTGATCCAATGTTCTATGGCCAGGATGGAACCCGCGTTGTTCCTCTTGGATCTGAGGTTTGACCATCGATCGGACTCGCTTCTCCAGTACCCCTGAATAGACCATACCAGGTAGGCTGAGTGTGATGCCCCTATAATTGGAGCACACCCTCCAGTCCCTCTTTTTGAAGAGGGAAACCACCACCCCAGTCTGCCACCAGTGGTATTGCCCCAGATGTCCACACAATGCTGCAACGGCGTGTCAACCAAGACAGCCCCACAACATCCAGAGCCTTAAGGAAATCAGGGCAGATCTTATCCCCGGAGACCTATGGCCACAGAGCTTTTTAACTTTCTCAGCGACCTCAGCCCCAGTTATGGACAGACCGACTCCAAACTCCCCCTACTCAGCTTCCTCTGTGGAAGATATGCTTGTGGGATTTAGAACGTCTAAGAAGTATTCCTTCCACCTCCTGACAATATCACTGGTTGAAGTCAACAGCAGCACACTTTCACTGAACATTGTTAGTAAAGTGTTGCTTTCCCTGCCTCAGCGGCCTAAATATGTGATTATTTATGGAATTTGCCAAGTGCAAATATAGTATAGAAAGGCTAAATATGTGAACACTCATAAACTGTCTTGCTTTCTAATTAGCTAGACAGCTGACGTTTTGAGTGAGGTGTCATCCAGGGGTCACTGGTTGATTTGGCTTGAACGCATAGAGCTGCCGCCACCCCTTCATCCCCTTTTTTTTTCTTATCTTGCCTCTTGGAGTCTTGTTCCATCCCACACAGCATGTTGTATTTATAACTCAGGCTCCTTCTCTCCTCTTGATTCCCATTTCCTTACCTCATCCTCATGCCTCCTCATCTTTTACCTCACACGTGTGTGTGGCTTTTTATCATTTTGATGCATCAAACCTTATGATTCAGTCAACAGCTCATTATGACAGACTATAATATTAACCAGGATTAGTGAGACCTGTTTTCCATGTTTTTTGTTCTTTTCTATACTTTAGAAAAGTGCTCTGCAAACAGAGCAGTCATAGCATGTACTTCGCTAATCTTGTTTTGGCAATCTTTGCATTTTGTAAACAACAACAACAACAACAAAAGTCTAAAAAAACAACAACAAAAAACCAAAGGGTGAATGTCAGTCAGTGTTTATAAAGGGAAGATTTAGGTTTGTAGTGCTGGAAGAAGTGTACATTTTTTGAAAGAATTATGTTCTTTGGAAGCTGTACTCCAGTGTCATAAATGTGATATATATATGTTACCTTACGTATATAGGCGTGTGTGTCTGTGTGCAGGTGTGATGCTAGCCAGAGCTTTACTTTTTTAATTATTATTATTGGGATGAAGCAGTTTGAAACATGTTGATTTTTTTTTTCTGGTCATAAAATAAAAGTCTATTCAGCAGCAGGCTTTCCATGCTAAGTCTTTCCAGTTGGTTGCTTTGTGAAGTAGCAACATTAACAAGATCTCACGGGCTTGTGAGCTCTCTGAAAAAAAACAGGCCTTTGAGGAAAAACCGGAGTTTTCCTGTCAAAAGAATTTCCAATCTGCACACATCTATCTTTTTTTTCCTGTTGCTGTTGCATGCTGTTGCACCGCTGCAATGTCTCATGGACAAGAAGGGAAAAGACTATAGGGGAATGTTTGTTAAAATACTATTTTTTCCTTGTAATGTTATGACATTACAAGTCTCTCTTGTAAATGAGTCCCCGCGGCTCAATGAGGCTAGCTTGTATAAATAAAGGTTGAATGAAAGAAATGAACAAATTGGTCCAAAACAAAAAAAAAAACAAGAAAATTAAGATGAATTAGTTTATAATCAAATCTTTAATGGTGAAATCTAAAAAGGAGCAGTTTCAAAGAGTAATATAGAGTAACATATTTGTCACCATAGCAAAGCATAACAAAATAGCATCACTATTTCCTCACAAATATGTTGTTTCATTATAACCACCACATTATAACCTCACGTACACAGTCAACCAACATGAACAAATGTCCAGCATGACTATTGTAACTCACGTTATGTTGGGGTCAGTCAGGCTTTGCTTTCATGTCTCCAACTCGTCCAAAATGCTGCAGCTCAGTTATTAACAGGAACTAGCAGGTTTGAGCACATTTCACCGGTTCTTTCCTCCTTCACTGGCTTCCTGTGTGTGTCAGAATTGATTTTAAAATTCTCCTGCTAATGGCCTTGCAACCTCATACCCCTCCGACCTTCTTCATCCTCATGCTCCTTCTCTGACTTTGAGATCATCAGACCAGCTGCTCTTGATTGTACCAAAAACCAGGTTGAAGCTCAGAGGAGATCGGACATTTTCAGTCATTGGCCCTAAACTTTGGAACAACCTGCCCATCAATATTAGACAGCTCACTTCAGTTTCTGCTTTTAAATCTCTCCTCAAAACACACCTGTACTCATGGTCAGTTAACACAGGGTGATCTGATTTAGTATTTCATTGGTTCTGATTACGTTTTGTGGTTTTATCTTTTTTTTTTTTCCCTGATGCTGTAATTATTATATCTTGTTATTTTTATTTTGATGCTGTGATCTTTTTGTTAAGCCCTTTGGTAACAGTTCCTGTTTTAAACGTGCTATATAAATAAATCAGCTGACTTGACTTGAACATACACAATCACACACATTGCAGCATTTTTACCTCTGCGTTTAAAATATAAAAGCAAATTTTGAGGTAAAACACAAGCAAGAAAGAACAGGACAGTACATTCTTAAAACACTTCTACAAAAACGCATTAAAAAAATATGTAAATTAGAATATATCCTGAAACCTTATCAGATTGTGTTTTAATCTGACCTTCCATTTTTCATATGCTGCCTGATTTTAAATGTCTGTAATGACTTCCTGATCTTCATCATTCCCTCAGTGTATCTCTTTGCTTCTTAGATACGCTGAATTTCTAACGATTGTTGTTCTTTTCACTTGGGTGTGATTGACGTCAGTTCGGCTTCTTGCTGCTCTCCTCTCATAAACCTGCATGTGACATTTTTGTACCACAGCATCTGACTGGCAAGTTTTGTTCTCCAAGAAAGCATTTGGCACTAAAACTGTTGCAGCCTTTGCTACAAAAGCCTACATGAACAGACCCTGAGATTTTTCAGAGTGTTAAGCTACAGTCTGCACAGAGGTGTTTTTTGTGGTTTAAACTTTTCACAGGAGTAATCCATCTGTCTGCAGCTGCTCATCCCCACTAGGGGGGAGCTGAAAGTGAGATGTCAATGTGAAAAACTTTGTGAAGTAACATCAGTACACAGAAGTGTTGAAATGATGTTCGCTTTAGAGTGAGTCAGAGTATAAAACTGTGACACCGGCACAAAAAAACATTCACTGTGATGTCTTTAGAACGATGACACATTTCAACGTATCTTTGCTAATGCATCTTAAGCCAAAGACAGGTTTATTTTTCTGTAGCTACAATATAGTTGTTAATGTTCTCTTGGTTCTCCTTTCTCTCCTTCTGTGCAACAGATTCGCTACATCTCACAAACGCAAGGTTTACCAGGAGAACATTTATTGAATGCAGGGACAAAAACAGAACGATTCTTTTGCAAAGAGTCTGAATCACCTTATGCAGCATGGAAACTAAAGGTGAGCAGTATTTGCACATCTCACGGGAAAAATGGTGATTTCATAGTCAAAACAACAGATCACTCACTGTCTCAGGTGTGCTAATACTTTAAAGGTAAATGTCGTGAGTCAATGTTTACCTCAATCTACAACTTTTTTTTCTTATGTCTGTTTGCAAAACATATATATTTGCAGTTTCCAATAATGACATTAAGATAACTTTTTAGATCAAATATGTTCACACTCTGTCACATATAATATGTATCAATTTAGAACTCAACGTTTTCTAGTCCCTTATGATGAAGATTAATGGTTGAGGATTTCATCACTATGTTTTTTAAGCATCTGCTTCAATAAATTCACATCTCGTGTTCTCAACTGTTTTTGTATTTTGCTTTGCAGTCAACAGATGAGCACGAGACAGAGACGGGGATGAAATCAAAGGAAGCGAGGAAGTACATCTTCAGCTGTTTGGATGACATAGCGCATGTATGTTTAGCTATTTAAACATCAATGTTCATAACAGTTCTTAACAGGAAGCGGAACATCAGTTGTTTAGTTTAACTAAAGGAAGAAAGTGCTCAGGTGTAGGAAGGGAATAGGTAAGATACATGTTTTTTTGTTGTTGTTGTTGTTGTTGTTGTTGTTGTTGTTGTTGAACAAAAGGCTGATTGAAAGATTATCTTGCTGTAACTTCCCCCTAGTAAAAAGCCAAGTTTTAAGTTTCTCAAGATTGAGTTTTATTTTCTTAGAATAGATCACAGGAGTTCCCCCAGTAATTCTCAATGCTTTATCAAATTTATAATATTTCATGTCATTTTAAATAATCCTGTTTATGTTTAATAACATTTTAACATTTGTGTAAAAAAATGGGTACGTTAAAATCGTTCCATTTTAAAGATCACGCTGCATTTTTCATTTTGCTTTACTTTTTTATGTTCTGTAGATTAACATGTAATTTAATAATGTTTGTTTTTTTCCCTTCAGGTGAACTTGATGATGAATCTGGATGGTAGTGACTTGTTGGCAGAAAAAGCAGACCGCCGGGAGTTTGTAGGCCTGCTGAAGAAGATGTTGCTGATTGATGCAGAAGAGAGGATTGCCCCTGCTGAAGCTCTCATCCACCCATTTGTGACAATGCAACACCTGCTCGACTTTCCGCACAGCAACCAGTGAGTCCTCTTCACTTGGAGTTTTCAGCCATGCTTGACACATTATAATTGTCCCATGTAACTTGTTGTTTCTATTTTGTCTGAAGTGTAAAGTCATGTTTCCATATCATGGATGTTTGCTGGACTCGTCCCAGCACGTATGAGGCTTCCAACCGAAACAAAGGACCCTTCGTTAGACCTACACCGGCCGCCTCAGTCAACCACCCCTTCAGTAAGATCCCAGCTGTCCATACGCAAGTAAGCTGCTCAGAAAGTGTTTCTGCTTTCATACATGTGCATTTAATATTTTTATATTTGTGCCATCAAACCAAAGAACCAACATTTAAGTAGTATGTTTTCACACTATTAATTACTTTTTTTTTTTTTTTTTTTGAAGTTGGAAAACATGAGAAATATCTGAGTGATGAAATAACAAACTTTGCTGGTTCTTGACAACCAATGTTCTGTTCTGCTCATTTGTTCCTGTAAAGACTTGTTTTCTTGCTTTTATTACCTTTCAATATGCTGACTTGCCCATCTTATTGCGTCCTAGCACTGCTGTCATGGCAACTAAATCACGTCATGTTTCTGAGGTCATGGCAACAGTACAAATCAGTATTGTTGCTGAGGAGAATAGAGGAACTGACCCCCTTTTCTGTTTAATACTTAACTGCAAAATGTTTCAGAGTCTAAAATGATAAAGATGGAAACAAAAAGAACACAAATATTTCAGTATTACCCGTTGCAAAAAGCTGTTGATTACAACAAAAGAAGAAAAAGACGATTTTAAGAGTTTCTGTTTTTCCTTTTTAAAACTGAAACCTGTGAAAGACTACCTGCTCATATGCATTGCACAATAAACCTGATCAGTTATCTTTTTTTTTTACATTTCTAAAACACTTTACGAAGAGTTTAAATTACAACAAAGTAGAGTAGACTTGCTGAAAAATGTGACTTTTTTGGTATTACCCATTTGAAAGACTGCTTTGTGTTCACTGTCATGAGTATGGGGGCTGGGCAACATGCAGTAACAGAACAATATAGCCCTAGTTCTTGTTATCCATTAAATGTGATTATACCAAGGCACGAGAGCTGTGTTAGTGGTGAAGGAAAAACACATGCTCCACACAGCTTAGCCTGCTGCTCTGATTTACACTCAAGTTCAACATTGTTTGACATCTTGGTACTTGTCCAGGTTGTCAAACAAATGCAACGTTGGACGTTGAGCCTGCCATAAACGTGTCAACTGTAATTTGAAAGTCAGTTTAGCAGACCATTTGTGTAAATAGGTAGCCAACTACATGCAGTTACAGCAGTTCTACATAAGTGTTTTTAAGCAGTCTTTCCTAAACAAGTGGACTTTGATTATATTTTGACTTGTATTCCTTGCCTATGTTAATTTCAGTCATTTGTTGTTATTTTGTGAAGTCTTTTTGACAGTTTAATGTGTTAAAACAAACTGCTGAAAAACTAATTGAGATATTGCCATCTACTGGCTGGAGTATGCTATAGTTTTTGTGCACTTCAAAGTAGAACTCATGTCTTGTTTCTCCAATTTTTTTTTTTTTTAGGGTTTAGTTCCATCAGCACCCTCAGTAATGCACCCAGGTATACCACTACAGGCTGGAAGTGCTCAGTTTGGATGCAATGAGTCATTCCAGCAGGCTCTCATTCTGTGTCCCCCCACAATACAAGGTACGACATGTACTGCAAATATTAGTTTAACTTGTTTATTGTTCTTTTTGGTGATTAAAGTTGGCATCCTAAGGTTAAAGACTTATCTTTTTGTTGCCTTTGCAGGTATCCCCACAAATACAACAAAACAAGCTGGCTACCCTGTGCATATGGAAGCCTCTGTCCCGCTGGCCACTCAAGCTCCCTCAATTCAGCCAATACAAATCAGACCTGGAGTCATCACACAGGTAGGGGGTCAACAAGCATAGAAATGGTCATGGAAAATTCAGCCTGCTGTATATAGGCTGAAATAAAAGGACAGCAAAGTCTAATTGAGTGATGCAATAACAGTATTGGGTTAGAGGTGGACAGTTGAGCATGGAGATCTCTGCTCCTGTTTAATGATGGGCGGGTTCTCTTCACAAAGATGGCTTCCTTCACCCCTCTCAAACTAACGGTCCTCTCTATCAAGGATGTGAACATCTTCATTCCTGAAAGAGTGACCGCTGTCCTGCAGATGAGTGTAGACCGCAGAGTCCTGGCCTGATGATGTTGCGCTTCTGTATTGGGTCATCCTTTTGGCCAGTGGTTGTTTAGTTTTCCCAATGTAGAATTGATTACAGTCACTGTATCAGAAATGTTTCTACAAAGGATCTGTCCAGAGGACCTGACTCAACCTTGTTAGATTTATCTACGTGGATTATTGAGCATGCATCAGGACATCAGTATAATGAATCATCACTTTTCCTCACACCAACAGGCCTGGTCGAGCCGCACACAGCAGATATTAGTGCCCACTTGGCAGCAGGTGACATCTGTGCCCCCACCACCAACCACTTTGGCATCTGACACTGTGTCAGGCTCTCAGAGAATTGGCGATTGGGGGTAAGAAACTTTTCTAGTTGAGAAAGTGGTATATATGTATTATAGCTCCAATATACAGTATAGTTTTATAATTCCTGGTGTTTTATTAACTTTAGTTGATGTGATTCTTGAGTAGATATATAAGTCTGATGCAGCGTGAGTCAGATAATTTGTCAAAAATGGCACTAACGGCTTCTGGCTTGACTTTCACTGATCGCGTTTCACATTGCAGGAAAGTGCGTTCCCATGGTAACCATTACACCTCCATGATTGCACACCCTCAGCCATTCTTAACCAACCAAATGACCATGTCCACCCACCAGCCAGTCAACATAGGCATTGCACATGTGGTGTGGCCACAGCCAGCTGCAAACAAAAGAGCAAAACCTTGTGTGAACAGGTACTTCACATAGCCTTTATCCTCAAGGAATATATATATATATATAAATATATAAATGTGCATTTCTGAATGTGATTATTTTCTTTTCAAATCATATGTAGGTGCAGCAACAACTCCCAAAACACAAACATTCAAAATTTACCATGTCACTCTCCAAAGATGGCCGATACAGCAAAGAATGTGGAAGAGATCGAGGAAGAGGAGGCCAAATGTCTAAAGAAAGGGCACTCTGTGGAGGAAGAGCAAGTAGCAGAGCAAGTGGAGGAAGATGGTGAGGAGAATTGCTGTAAAGTGGAGCCAGACTGTGAGGAGCGCTCGGTTTCGCAGGAGCAGCGGCAGGCCATGGTGATCTCTGACCTAGCCAGCCCAACTGTTAGTGTCATCAGTATCAGCAGTGATGAAGAAGACAATGCACAAAGACACTCAATGGGGGAGTGAGTACTGACTATGAAGTCTCACTTAAAAAAAACAACTCAGAAGTGGTTATTAGAGTTGTGCATCTTACTTTTTCCTCTGCTCCTGCACTTAGATGTAAGGGTAGTGTTGACTGTGAAGCGTGTCAGAGCACGGTCAGCATGGAGAGGGTGTGTTCTCTCAGCAGCCCAGACAGTACGCTCAGCACCAGCTCTTCTGCTTCAGCACAGTCCAGCAACTCCCCCTGCAAACACTCCAACAGGTAAAGGTGTTTATACAGAAAAATCCTCAGACAGCAAATGTACTGATTTTGATTAATGAGGCTACTTATATAATATTTTTTATTCAGTAGTAGTATCAAACAGCACAAGTGAAGCTATAAATGTTCTTCTTATATTTGTATCTTTCTGAAGCATGTCGGATGATGAACAGGAGAGTGGTTGTGACACGGTGGACAGCTCGCCTGCATCGCACGGCTCCGGCCACAGCAATGGTCCCTTTACAGAGCGTCACTACATTGCTGACAGCAACCAGAACTGTGAGCCTTGTGTTGCATGCGTTGCTCCAGAAACTGAGCCCAGCAAACCAACGGTTCGAACTGTTGTAGTGCCGCCGATGCGGGTGCAGAACAACAACAACTGTGCTGTTAGCGAAACACCTGGAAACACAGGTAAAACCATGACATATACCGTTCTTTTAGCACAAATGCATTTAAATGTTTGCTCATTTTATTTGTCTACTATGTGCAATTGTTGGAAGTGACTAATAGAGTTTTAGAGAAAAGTTTAATTTCTCTAAACCTAAATTACACCGATCAGTAAATGAGAATATAGGACATTTTTCCTTCCCCAAGCTGTTGTTATCCACTCAGACAGCTAACTAGCCTCTGATGACATCATTTCAGCCTAAAAGACTAGTCACTCCTACTGTCTGCCCTGCAGGTCACATGGCCTGGGATTATGCAGTGTTAGTAGGCTACAGAGGTTCTAACAGGTGATTATGGGTTCCCTACACTGATAATTTTGTTCTGAGTGGATACTTGCATGGTGTCAATACTTTTAATTGTGGTTCTAGACTCACTCTCAGATTTGCTGTGTCGGTGTGTATATGCACTTCTTAAATCTACATAAGACACTCATAATGATCATTAAATGTTAAAGCTTCTCAGCAAAATATGCAATGCGTACATATTCACCAGAAAATGTTGACTTTTTCTGGATACTTCAAAAACATTATGAAATAATATTTCTTTTAGGGATTTAAGTTGGGTTACACGTGATAATGCTGCGGTTAGTGGACACAGGTGACAGTGCTTTTAAAAAAATTATAAAGTGTGTGTTTGCTTAGAGAAATTCAAATAGTCTCATTGCTTTTCATGTCTACGCCATCTCCCTTCACAGCCTTCAAACTGTTATAACTATAGTCCAACATAAAAGGGCATGACTTTCTATTTTAGTAGTGCCAGGTTTATTTATAGGTGATGCTATGTTCCCACACCAAACTCTATGATCAAGCTTAGTTACAAACCTCTCTCACATCTCTAAAACATTTATTTATAACCACTTAAAAGAAAGGATGGATACAACCATGTCTTAGGACGTGGAACTCTTCCAAGACAGCTGAAATAGCTGATCTGTTTTTAAAGCTTCCTGCCATAGATGTTAGGAAGCGAGCGCCGAGATTTGTTGTATATTTTCAGTTGTTGCAGTGGAATACAAGCTCCTGCTCCGTCTTGTTTGTGTGTTATTTTCAGTTTGCTGTTGATGGCTGGGCATCAGGTTTTTTCCTACACTTATACTATTTTCTTTCTATGGTCATTTCTCCTTCCCTTGTCACATGACCTCCTCCTCCTCCAGTCTTAGAGTCTTCATGCCAGTTCAAAAGGCGAGGCATTCCTGGACGACAACATCACCACTCTACCCCACTCCTCAACAGGCCACAAAAAATCACCCCCGTGTTTCAGCCCCAGCAACAGCAGCCTATTGGTTTTGGGCAGGTGAGACATTTTATGTGTAAGATGAAAAAGTCAGCTGGACATCACAGTTTTATACAATTTAAGGGTTTTTGGCTGCTGAAAAGAAACAAAACTGAGCCTCATCAGTCAATTATAATTAATAGCATTTGACTGATTGGTCATAATGATTTAATAGATGTGGTTGGTTTTATTGAGTAGCATCATTTGTGTCCAAACAAGGATTTTTCTCCTTGTAGGAGGTTTCTTATTTATATTGTCACAGTAAGTTCTTAAATTCAGCACCACTTACTATTTGGCGTCAGAATCTAGCACACTGTAACAAGGTGTAATTTCTAAAGAGATGGTTCTGACAACTTTTGACAAACATTGTAATAAAGAGGATAATTGAATAGATTTTTGGGGTGTAGAGTGATATGGGGCTGGATATATATTGTTGATTATCAGTTATGAGTTAAGCTCATAAGATATGCCTGTATTATGCAAGTAACCTCATTGTGTGGGCACCACCTCTCTTGGAGAGGAAAATCAGTCTCTATTTACTCCAAATTAATGTAAACTGAAACGTGAATTATTTTCTCGTGTTTAAAGGGCATCAAATCAGTTATTACACACAGATATGCCAAAATAATCACAAATTCGGTTGATTTTATGTATTTTATTATAAAAAATAATAATTGTGATATATGTGATGAAAATTATGCATGACAAAAGTTAACTGAACATCAAATAGCTTTGCATCAAATGTCTAATTGATTATTCAAATTAGTGAAACTTAAAAGGCAGATTTTGGACTGGTTTTGTTGGTGAAGTGGTTAAAAATTGTGTCTAAAGTGAGCAATAGTTTGTCTGATAAGTTGTGATGTAGGGTCACCAGAAAGGCATTGAAAAGTCTCTTTTACCAGGATGAGATGATCAGAGATGTTTCCGGCAGCTGCTTAAAATGGTTCCCACCTCAGATATTCCAGTTAACTGAGAGGCTGAAGTCTCCTCCAAGTTCACCTGTCACCTTAAGGGGACGAGGGTCCATATGGGAGTCAGCTGGGATGTACCACTCTGCGGTGTGATGGTTGCCTGGTAGACAGATCTCAGGTTAATGCCTGGTTCTGGTTAAGCTGGGTTTCTTCTCTCCAGTTCTCTGTGCAGAAGCGTGTCTCTCTGGAGTTTTCTCTCCAAAACTCCAGTGAAGTCTTCTGAGCATCTCTTCAAAGTGTGTTTTTCTCCAGAAGTTTTCTTTGACGAAGTCTCAGTGAAGTGTGTTTGTGTAGAAGAAGTTGTGAAGACGTGAAAATTAACTGTCTGTGTGTTTCAGAGATGAAGGTCCACCCCTCGGAAGTCTGGTCCTACCTCTTGGCTTTGTTTTTTTTTATTTTTTTATAAAGGCCTCTTAAATAAATCTAGTCCCTTTTCTCTGCCTTAAAAGTTTTCCTTTTTAAAAGAGAAAATAAGACAAATGATTATCTTAAAGAAAGATTACTTGAAACACACATTTTCATGAATAAACATTCAGGTATGACATATTTTGAATCAATAACATGCAATGTTCCGCCAAAAGGTGTCGCTGTTCATCTCCTGGAAAGGAATGCCATTAAACAAAGGGTCCTTTAAGGTGTTATCTTCATGGGAACGAGTTCTGGGAGGAATACTCCTTTTTTGATAAAGGTGCAATCAACGTAGCAAGTTCGGATGTTTCAAAAACTTCGAGGTCAATTGAACAGAAGCTCTCATTAAAACGATCTGTCCGTTTCATGGGAAATGAGTTCATACTGGCAATGAGGTTAACACAGTGACGATGTTTTTTAATTACATTTACATTAGTGTCAACTGCGAAGTTTGTGAGCCGAGTTGAATATTTGTAAAACAATGTCTGCTTGTTCCCAAGGGAATATAGATGAATCTTATTTTAACAGTTTCAAACACAAAACACAGGAATGATGTTTGTTTAAGATGAGGTGAACTCTTTTTCTATTTGAGCTGAGGTGAACTGTTTCTAGCAGCAATCATCATCACTCATTTCACCGTTTCAACCACTACGCCCTGAATTACTGAGTTGGTGTAAATTTTAAGAGTCAAAACGTTTTTTTTTATATATATATATATTGCTTATTGTTTAGAAATATTGGAAAAAAGTAGCAAAAACTCAAGTCTGTGTCAGTAAAACTAAGCCTGACTTATTCAGTTTTCTTCTTCTCTCCTTCAGGTGCAGCATTTCAGCTCCTGCCACCAGGAGTGGAACGGGAACTTTGCCAACCGGCGACCGCAGGCCTACATCCCTCCTACCATGCACGGGCACACGTTCACACTCTCCCACAGCAGTCCCAACCACACAATGGGCCCCCACCCCCACCTTGGAGGGCACCCGCACTCCCAGCCTACCTTACTGTCGTACCCTCCGTCTGGTCCTCTGGTCCCAGCTGCCCCTGTGGCCCACCTGCTGGCCTCCCCTGGGGCTTCTCGCCCTGTCCTCCAGCCTACCTACAGTATCTCTCACCCAGCAGGCATTGTTCATCAGGTGGCAGTGGGTATCAACCCCCGGCTGCTGCCCTCCCCTACCTTACACCCCCAGGGCCAGTTCAAGCCCCTTTTCCCCCCACACTCTTACATCGCTTCACCCGCTTTCGGCAGTTTTCCTCTGAGCCCTACCAAAATAAACCAGTACCCTTACATCTGAGTGTGGCTGCTCTGGTACCTTTTCTACCACCGGGGGGCTAAGCAGGATGAAATCTATCTCAAAACCACAAACATGGCTTTCTGTTCTGAAAACCATGGCACAACCACAGAGAAAGCAAACTATTTTTGGAATCATGTAGACTTGGGTGTAACTGAACTTCAAGCTTTAAAAAAAAAGAAGAAGAAAAAAACTGGTGGTGACGATTTAGCAAAAACATAGATGGAAATAACGTATGGATGACAGAATGAAAGAATGGACGAGTAGTTCAACTCACCTAATGTGTTTTGCACATTTGATATACCTTTGCATCGGATCTTTTACAAATACTCCTCAAGACAGGTAAATAATTGGGGTGTTGTGGAATAGTTAGATCCCCCTGTCCCAGCTATTTTTCTACATTGCCTTCTTATGTGTGCAAGACACATTCACATTTGTAAAGCCATCCCAATCTCTAGCGCTAGATTGACATATGCACATGTGTCCACAGTGTACGTTGTACTGCGTTTGAAGTATTTGTACCCTTTTTCGGTGTCTTTTGGTGTTCGCAATGTCAAGTCAATAATCAGATTTAAATAAGGTTGTTCCTCACGCTGCATGTGGTCTTGCATGAGCAAAAATGTAAACGGGAAGATGCATAGACGTTGCTCTTATTGTTCGTGTCACAAGACTCGCTGCATTGTATAACTGTCCTCAGCCATAGTGCCTTACATATTTGAGGTTGTTCTTGTTAACTACTTATATACGACTATATACATGAATATTAATGTACTGGACTGCAGCACTTGAAATTCCAATCAGTTGATGCATCCTATGTGTGAGTATGTATATGCACATGTGTATATGTCCATGCATAGCGTGCATGGATGTGATATATATATATATATACACACACACACACAAATATATAGCGGTGCTTTTTTCTTTGGTGTTTGTATATTTCAGTGTGTTGTGAGTTACCTTTCTGTTCTCTCTGCAGAACAGCATGCTTTGCTGTTGCGGATGCCTGCTGTTTCCTTAAAATTGTTTTTTTTTCTTTCTCCCCGTCAGTTCCCGAATGAACTAGTGTAAAAAGTGCAAGTACTGAGTATTGCTTAATATTTGATAATCACTTTCTATTTAGTGAAACTTACTACTAACAGTATTTGTACTGTTTAAAAACTGCAATACAATCTAAATAGTTGTTGATTATTTGTTTAATTGTCCTTTTTTTGTTGTTGTCTTTCTCTTTTTATTTTGAGTGTTTTCACTTTTATTTTTTAGATGTTTAGACGTGTGATGGGCATGGCTTTGATTAGGTAAGACAAAAAAATCAAATTAATTTCCAATATGGACTCTTAGCCTGAGCAAACCGTGCAGTATTTGATATACACACACATATATGGACATATATTATAGAGCTAGACTATTTAGTACCGATGCTTGATAAGGTGTGAGTTACTTGTGTGCAATTCCCTCATTTATGCATGTGTGACAAAGTTAACTTTTCCCCTTTACATTATACCATTTGTTAAAGGCTTATTAATGTCAACTGCTTATTTTATACATTCCGTCAGGGAGAATATATACATATATATGTGTGATGGTAGTACATACATATATATATATGCTGTGTGCGTGCATTTCTCTTTGTTCTTTTACTAGTTATACGTGTTATTGTTTAATTTTTGTCCTTTATTTGAAATGAAGTTGCTTGTGCAGCACCAAAGACTGTAATTCATTTTATGAGCAAGGTAGCTATTCTGTTTGCGTAGACCTCAGTCATACTGTAGTTGTAGAATGGGGTTTGATTAAAAACAACAACAAAAGTTATATCTTAAAAAAAAACAAAAAAAAAAAACAAGATGGAAAACAAAAAATAGCCAATGTTTTGTCTTGCTTTTTGGGCAATTAATGAGTCGTATCATTTCTGTCATGAATGTATCATAGATAAGCTGCTATGTGATGATTGCCACTTCGATAGCTGTGAAATGAAGTGATTTCTCTCTTGAGTTGAAGCCTAGCGTTTTGTATTCGTCCCTAATGATCTAAAATAGAGTTGGTTTGGTTTATGTGTTTGCGTTCATATTTGGAGTGTCACTGTAACTACTGTATTGCTGATGATGAACATTCAGTTGCGTTTGTTGTCGTTTCTCGGGGCGTGTGTGTGTGTGTGTTTTTGTTGTGCGTGTTTTTTTGCATCAGTATTTTAATCCTTATTATTAACCTTTTGGGCTCGTCACTGCATATAAACAATGTATCGATGTAACTTACGTTTTGTATGTTTTCATATCGATGTTTTGTACACGTCAGAAGCTGTAGCTTGCAGGACTGATTTAACTTTCTCATTGTGAGTATACCGTGTACGACCAGTACTCTTTTTGTGAGTTACAGGAGCACTGTGAGATGCCAGGAAAAGGAAAAATAATAATTGTGTCCCATCGAAAAGCTTCTATAACCTTTCCACCAGTCGCACGCAAACACACTTGCCACTAAGCACTTACACAGGTAGTGAGGCTTGGAAATAGTTGAATGGTAAAACAAATTGACACAAATGTCACAGCTCTAAAGCATTTTTTTTTTTTACAACTTGTTTAATTGTCAGATTCATAAAAAGTAAGCTTTGTTTTATTTAAGTGTTTTATCTGGATAGAATACCAGTTGTCACAGTTTGATGTTCGAAACTGCCTTGTGTTCAGATCGCTCTCCCCTTTATGAGTGTCTCATGGAAATGTTTCGTCAGCGCAAAACAACGGCCATCGTTACGTGTTTATTAAAACTGACAGTGTGAACAGCACTGTGCATGTGTGCCTTGAGATTCAGAAAGTAAAAGAATTCAGTGAGGAAGAAGACAGAATCCAACCAATAAACCATGTAGTCGGTCTTTCCTCTACCAAGAAGGGAGAAAAAAAAAAACCCAGACTGTATCACAGTTAGGCCTGTCACGATAACACATTTTTTAATTGTCTCAGATAAATTATTGCGATAAACGATAATATTGTTTGAAACTTGACAATAATTAGTAATTGTCAAATTTAAAAAGAAATGCTGGTTAATTTTTGTGTAGTACCTTTTTTGACCACTGGATGGCAGTAAAAGACTTTGAGCCGAAGAATGGATAGTGAGAGAGCGAGCAGAGTGTCTCTTTAAGAAAAATGGGAGGGAGGCTCCTTGACGTGACATGGGCTGTCTCTCGTTCCCGTTTTTCGTTTCTGAAAATGGCGGACGCTCGGTATGGTTAGCATTGCATTTGTTACACAAAGCTTTTAATTTAAAAAAAAATCAGTAAACAAGTTTTCAGCTTCTTTTTACTTGGAAAAACAGCTTTTTAGACGAAGGCACGGGTTTCAACCAGGAATTTTGGAGCTTTGACAAGATGGAGGTTTTTTTTCTCCCGAGGTTGTCCTGTTAGCTTAGCTCGTAGCTTAGCGTCTTTTAATGATCCAAAAACGTGATTTTGGATGGTTAAAATGGATTTTAACGAGAAAGGGAGGGGTCAGTGAAGAGCACTGGATTTGAGCCTTTTGTCATCCAGTGTCTTCAGTAGAACGAGAGACACGAAGAAACGATAAAGCCGATAAACGAAAACGAGGTCGATAATTTTCATTTATAATGCGATTAATTGATTTATTGTTTATCGCGACAGGCCTAATCACAGTCATTCCAGACTATTCAACTTCTGATCAGCTCGTCGTGAAAGTCTACTTTCAGACGCGCCAACACAAGTAGACGACAGTCTCTGCATGAAGTGACACTCTACAATCATTGAGTCATTAACTCTGGCTGAACAGCAGATGCAATACTTTACATTGTGCAGTCATTGCACCACAAAGTGTTCTTAGATGAGCGCCACGCTTTACGTTAACTTGCATGAACACATACGTCGCTTCACTGTGTCTTCTGTCCTGCAAATGAAGGATAAGTGGCAACAGGTGTTTGCAAATCAGAGGAGACGTGTTTTTCTGTCCGCTCTGGGTGTTCGTGCTCTGGATGGAAGCTGCTCCGTCAACGAGATTGTAATTTCTCTGCAAGTCACGAGTGCAATACCCCACGAGAGACACTGAGGCTGAGACAGTTGTGTGCTTTTAATTGCCTATTTTATATTATTTAACCTTTTTTTTCTTTCTTTTTTGAGCTTTACGATCTTATTTAATTTAAATATCACTTTGGGAAAAGTATTTCACAATGACGAGGCATGAACTAGACAAGATTAGTGCTTGAAATAATTCCCCGTTAATTAGCATGTGAAGTGTAACGTTTTAATTCCCTCCAAAAGGTTTTACACCAGCAATGCGCCTGCGTCGACTCTCCCATATTTGTGATGTTAAAAAAAAAAAAATAGAAAAGAAATGGATGCAAGAGGAGAGAAATCTTTCAAATGTTTTCTTTTTCTTTTTAGTGATTGACACCTTAAATCATGACCAAGCTGTTTTTGAGGTTTACTGTAACAGCATAAAAAGCTGTCATTTGTAAAGAATATAAACTTTGATATGAAAATAATCCTCTTAATTCAGGGTTTGTAAGAATCTAAATGTGCTACTGTGTAACAGATTTGATTGATTTGAGTTTTTTTTTTGGTTTTGTTTTTAACTCGAGCTTTTATTTTCATTCTGGTCATCTCTTGTCAATTTCAGAGTTAATTCACGCTGCAAGTTATGGAATCGTGCGTTTCGATCGCTCATCCGCTCAAATTTGATCATGGATTCTGAACTGTTACCGTTTTATTACCTGTAGATTATTTGTGGCTTTGTTTTTATGTTTTACTTTCATTTGCTTTTTAATATTTCATTTTGTGCTACACTAGTTTGCCATGTAGCAATTGCACTGTGCAATATTTACAGTATGAGGACTGGGAAAACTAACTCGATGGATGTGATGTCTCTTACACTTTGCGATAGTGTTTCCTCTCTAGATCTCAGTAATTTAGGTGTGACCAAGCCTTCTCTACTTTGTCACATTAAGCGGGTTTTCCAGGTGACTCTTTTGGTGAGTGTCAAAATAAGACTTTAATGGTGTATTATTGTTAAGATTCACTTTGAAATAAAAAACAAATCTATTGATGCAGCTCTTCTTGTCTCTGACTGTTTTTCATGCATGCATAAGCAACAATTTATAACAGTTTAACTGAAAAAAAAAAAACCAAGTTTTAGGTTTTTGGTTCACTTTATGATGTAATTTTAGTTCAACTAGACAACCCCACATTATGAAGGTACCATGACCATGCTTGAGAATGGATTAATGTCTTAACTGTGGCAAAATAACTGGCCTCGTTTGACCTCAGAACTGTCAACCTCCAATAAAGCTTAATGTTTCCAGTTGGGCAAACTTTCATCTAACAAGTGGATGATCCTGATCTAGCTGCTTCCAGCTCACACGAGGCCTTCGTCTTAGTGACCCGACTAACCAAATCGGGCTCAGACTAGAAAAAGGTAAGACTTTGAAAAAGTGGCTTCACTGCCCAAAACATTTTAATCATCTATAATTGTTTTTAAATGGTGACACTTTGTAGTTGGTTAGACATAGATTTAAAAATATATATATATATTACCTGTAAAAATGTATGACTTGCAGATCAACATGGGAGTTATTTGAACTTATTCAAGATCATTTGTCATTCGCACCACGTGGTGCATGTGGTGGAATGAAATTGTGTACACAGGGTCCCAGTTACATCCAACAAAGTATTAACATGTAAAAGAAAAACAGTATTAAGATGTAATATATGAACTAAGAAAACCGCTAACACACTAAGCACTAATAGCATAGAAAATATACTATGGTCAACACTTTTAATAATACTGGTTTCCAACTGCACTCCTCTGAGATCACTAAAACCAACTTGAAGAGCTTAAACAGGTTTAAAAACAACAATTAGTTTAAAAAAATATATATATTTTAATTTTTTTCCCCATTCCCTATCAGAAATACTTCGGTGTGAAGCTGCAGGTTTGAATCGCCCGTGTCTTTTATGAGTCTAGGCTGCCCTCTTGTGGACATCCAGCAGTACTACAGTCCACGTTGCTTAAAAGTCATCTTTATTTCTTTTTATTATTTATTATTTCTTTTTTTTTTAAATTATTTATTTATTCTTTAGTCATTCGCACTATATATGGTGCATGTGGTGGAACAGAATTGTGCACACAGGGTCCCAGTTACATCCAACAAAAGTATAAATTGTCAAGAAAAAAAAGTAGTGAGATCCAAGATATGAATTAATACTTATGCTAAACTAAGAATACACTAAGCACTAATAGTACAAAAACAATACGCTGAACAACAGCAGCACGGACATGCATCTGTGTGAGCAGATGAGTAAATGAACACAGCGGCGTGAAATATATCAGCATTATAAGGTCAGAACTTTTTTTAACCACAATTTATCTGCTATAAACCTTTAATACTCTCACTTTCCCCATTTATTTATGTCCCCCTCTCTGTAAGAAGAGACCAGTGATGACATGGAAGCTGCTCCACTTGAAGCGCGGTCTGACCTCCAGTCGACCAGCAGAGGGCGCGCTGGCGCCGCTCAGCTCTCTCTCCGGGTAATTAACGCACCGACGCTCTTCTGCTCCGTTTGACCAGGAGGCAGACTGACCTGAACATCCACCTCCTCCATTGTTGCAGCAGCATCACTGAATGTCACCTGAATCCTCCCCGGCGGCTCTGACTGGACGGCTAAATGTCAAAGCTTTGGGCAGAGTGAGGGCTCTGCACCACCCCATGATGATGATGATGATGATGATGATGATGGGTGGACCGCGCGCATCGGAGCGGTAGGGCGCGTTTCTTCAACACCGCGTCCTCCCCTCCACCCTCCTCCTCCGGACACACGACAAGCCCGCGTGACGGCCGTGTCCCACTCCCTCCCCGCCCCACGTTCACGCACGTGGATTGATCCAATGTATTATTTACGAGCGAAACTTCAGCAACTTATCCAGTGGATATGTCTCCCCGCGTGAGGAGCGATGGGCGGCCAGGTCAGCAGGAGGAGGTGGGGGCCAGCTGCAGCTGTGGAGCGGAGCCCGGCGGAGGCTCGGCGCGCAGGACGGCTGTCGGAGACAGGGGGGGCGGTCTGAGGAGCAGACTGGGAGCCGGTGCAGTGGGGATGCTGGGAAACTGTCTCCTGTCTGTGGCACCGCTGTTGCTGCTTGTCCGGTGCGCCGCGGCCGCAGAGGGTAAGCAGCTCTGACCGGGTGTGTGCGCGCGTGCTGCTGTGCTGCACCAGCCTCTTTAAAGCTGCACTGCGTGTGGCACCTACTGGGAATCAGGGGAACAGAGGATGGATCTATTGTTTTCTGCAGGCAGCGTTTTGTAATCCACTGCAGGGTGCATGATTCACTGGCTGTGCGGATGGATGAGTACACAGAAATAAACCCAGCTCTTTAAACTCTATACTTAAAACGATGCATGCTGCTCAAGTTCAATTAAAATATGTCACAAAGTGTGTCTTAAAGGCTGGTGCCCAACTCTGACATGAGCTTTCAGTGGATTGTGGCGACTCTGCTCTGCTCAGGGTTTGCTGTTGTGCACTGCAGCTCCTGTCTCGTGCAAATATTTGGACTCCTTTGTTTTAGTGATTTGCAAGAACCCTGAAGGCTGACCCTCACTCCTCTCCAGCTCCTCACTGTGGCTGAGTGGTTAGAGCAGTTGCCCTCCAATGCAATGCAAGAGTCGGAGGTTCGCTTCCACCAGCAGCCACATGCCCAAGTGTCCCTGAGCAAGACACTGAACCCCTCACTGTCTTCGATGTGTGTCCAATCAGTGCATGAATGTGATAAAGCACTGATTATTCTTTGTGTACATTTAGTAGAGTGCTGTATGAATGGGTAACTGAGGGCCCAGAATGTGTTTTAAAGAGCTTTGAGTATCTTGATAAAATAGAAAGATGCTAGTTCATCCATCCATTCATTCTCCTGCCTCTTCGTTTGAGTTGCAGTTCCACAACAAAGGGCTGTGAAAGAGTATAGTGGTGAGCTGTGGGGAGTTATTTTGGGAAGCAGTGCATCTACAGGGCAGTCTGTGCTTTTTAGACCATTTGGGACAGAACTAATGACACACATACTGTGGTCCACTGTGGGGCTTGTATGGAAGGCAGCTGAGGGAAGCTTGGCCCATTTAGCTGCCCTTCAACCAACATTTTGAGAGAGTGCATTTGGCTGCATCTCTGATTATTTGTGCCACTTGATGGCTCTGGAACAGCCTGTGGAGCCACGGCTGGAAAAAACCAAGAAGCTCTGCAGGTGCTGAACAAACAGCCGCTCGCTCCCTCTTCCTCCTTCGGTCTGCAAACTGATGTGGCGGCTGTAGGCTCACCTCTGCTGATGCACTGCTACAGTAGAACCTCCCTTTCTGTGCCTCCTCTTCCTCCTCCTCTTCTTTCTGGCAGTCAGCACATCCATTCTTAAACACGAGTGCAGCAGCACCACCTGAGCTGTATGGTAAACATTTGGTAACAGAAGCATCTGACGTCAGATTGAAAGGTTTTGGAATATTTGCACCAGAATCCAAATTTTAGCCAGTTTGAAAAATTCTTTGGTGGCTCTTCATCAATTTTGTGTGCGTTTGTTCCTCAGAGCAACACTAGTAGTGATCTAATCACTCCAATAATTAATCGGCACTATGTGAAATAGTTCACAATAACTCTTTTATGTTTAAGTTACTTTGCAATGGGTGCCTTTAAAACAAGTAATAATTTTCGTATTTGTTTTGGATGGAGTGCATTTCTAGTATATTGGACTATAAGAAAATCAAACAGAAGCGCTCATTTATTGGCAGCAGAGATTTTGTTTCATAACAGCTGACCCAGATGGTGTGTGTGGTTAAAGTTTAAGTGCATATGAAGTTGCATTTATTCATTTTTTTTTATATGCACTTTGGAACTTTTCCCATCTTTTATTGGAAAGGTCATCCGGACAGTCAATCGCAGGACTAAAACTGAGACACCAAAAGACAGAGCACCATGCACACATGCACTCAGGTCAGTTTAGAATCACTACTAGGCCTGTCACGATAAAAAATTTGCTGGGTGATTAATTGTCTCAGAAATTATTGTGATAAACGATAATATTGTTTGAAATTTGACAACAATTAGTAGTTATTGTCAAATTTAAGAAGAAATGTTGGCTAATTTGTTTTGAGTGTAGTATTTTTTTTACCACTGGATGGCAGTATAAGACTGTTTGAACCAAAGGATGGATAGTGAGGGAGCGAGCAGCGTGTCTCTTTAAGAAAAATGGGAGGGAGGCCTCTTGACGTGACATGGGCTGTCTCTCATTCCTTTTTTCGGTTCTCAAAACAGCAGACGCTCGGTGTGGTTTGAGCTCTTTAGCACAAGTTCGCAGAGAAAAATCAACTTTTTACACGAAGGCACAAGTGTCAACTGTGAATTTTGGAGCTTCGACAAGACGGAGGTTTTTCCCCCCCGAAGTCGGCCTGTTAGCTTAGCTCGTAGCTTAGCTTCTTAACTTAGCTGCTTTTAACGATCCAAAAACGTGATTTTGGATCGTTAAAATGAATTTTAAAGAAAATAGAGAAAGGGAGGGATCAGTGACGAGCACCGGAGTTGAGCCTTTTGTCATCCAGTGTCTTCAGTAGAAAGAGAGAGACATGAAGAAATGATAAAACCGATAAATGAAAATGAGGTGGATAATTTTCATTTATCATACGATTAATTGATTTATTGTTTATTGCAACAGGCCTAATCACTAATTAAGCTAATTTGCTTTTTTTTTTTTTGGATTAGCCAGAGAAAACCCACTGACAAACAGGAAGAACATGCAAAGTCCTCACAGAAAGGTGTGCACAGCCAAGGTTTAAATTTAAAGATCTCTTTACTGTGAGGCGACAGTGCCAACTAATACATTAACAAATGAACATATACAGGTTGAACGTAACCAAGCCATAAAGTCCTGGGAAGTCCAGATGTAATATTTTAGAAATGTTTCTAAAGCTTTGACTATTGCCAGAGCACAGCTCACTAATGGAAGTTCTGAACAAACTGTACCTCTTAAAGTTCAAGCTGACAAACGACCTCACATGAATGGCTGTGGTCACAGAGGTGACATGCACCCTGACACAGCTCCAGACGTTTTCTGTGCAATGAGGAACAATCATCTCAGCTGCACCTGAATCATTAACTGTGCATGCTATAATGCTAGTTCCAAAATATATATGAAATGGCCCTTTTGAGAGGTTGCCAAGTGGTTTTTAAGAGAGAAAAACAACACAACGGTGTGACAGGAAAAAGGTCCAGACTTCAACTTCAACATTTAAACTGGCCATTCTTGATGGATCTGCCTGGACAAATGGGAGGAACTGCCCAAGTCCAAGTGTGCAAAGCTTAAAGAAGCTTAAGACCTGAAACTGTTAGTAGCAACTTTCACCAAGTTTTAACAGTCTGAATGTTCTAAAAGATTTCTGGATCATTTCGATTATATTTAATAGTGTTCAAAAAACTGCAACGTCCTGTTTTGAGTACTGTGTGAGGTTAATGGAAAAATAAAGGAGGAAAGTGGGAGGGATGCTTTCAGGTGTATTGCAAAGAGTTCATCTGTGAACTGTAGACCTGCATGTTTAAGTTATTGTGAATGAAAAACCATACTGTGGGGGATTAATATCCAAACTTCCTGCCACCTTTCTTAACATCTGGATCAGAACCAACCTGGTTTCTATGGCAATGACAGGTTTGGTCTTTTTACATATCACATTTTGACCATTCGAGAATAGTTCAGTCATTTTCACATCAAAGATAAATGATTATATTTAGGTTGGATCACTTCCCAAATGTTTTACTGTGCTCACAGTTGTTTAAATGATGCCCTGCAGCAGCTTGAGGACACACCGAAGCTACGAGGAAATGCCTGTGTGACGTCAGGCGTGTGTCCTCCTCCAACCACGATCTGCCTGTGGCTTCTGGCGCTGACAGCTTGCCTTGGACAGGCGCTGACCTCACAGGCCTCGAAATAAAGACTATCCTTGAGCTGTTTCCAGATTCATAGTAAAACAAATAAAGTCTTCCTGATTCAGACTTGATGCTTTTCATTTTTACTCGTGAATTGACAGATAATGCATCAGTTTGTGTCACTGCCAGTGCTTTTTCCTTCTTTTTAAGCTTCTGAGCTTTTTCTTGCTTTGTGTGGTGCAGCATTTTTGCCATTTTCTTTTCATTCCATCCAGATTTTTAGAGCTGGTTAATGTTCAAAAACTCCAAGGAATAGGGTTGTAAAAGAAGACATTTAGCACTCACACTTGGTCTGATTCTCTGATTGCATGAGAAAATAGATTTAGGACCATTTGTGGAGCATCAATTCCTTTTTTATTTCCTTGTTTCAGTGATTTATAGTTAGTTATTTTGTGGGCGATCCTTCTAGAAGGACAGAAGATGTGTGTAGATCCTGTTGTTGTTTGTTTGATTTCGATTGAATTAGTTATTTTAGATTTTTATCTGTTTGAGTTAACATTCACTTGAGACTTGAACATGTGTCTTCAAGATACATGCATATCATATGATATGCATGTATCTTGTATCTCTCGCAAGCTGTGTGACGTGCACCATATAAACATGTTGCACATCACACAGCTTTTAATCAGCTTCATTTTGTGACTTTCTCGTTTTGACAGGAAGACAATATGAGTTCTGTTCAGCATTACGCAGAAAATTGAGCGCAAGAAAGGACAATACAAACGCAGCCGAGATGCAGTGCTGGCAATCCATCAGAGTGGAACATTTGCCAATATCCTCCGCCGCTATAATTCACTCCCAGGACAGTTTTTGTTTCTGTCAGAGATTTTAAAAAGTCACACAAGAGTAGTCTTTTTTCCACCCTCACCACTGTAAACAAAGCAGAGCGCACTTCTAAAACATAGTAGTGATGATGGGAAAGGCAAACAGGCTTCTCATTAGCATCACCTACCATCTGCCTTGCACTGTCCCGCCTATAGTTCAGGGAATATTGTTCGTGTGTAGCGGTTTATCTCTGTATCATCCCCTTCCCTGCGTCTCACTGTACCTTTGAGCCTGTGTGCTTTTGTTTCTCTGTTTTTTTGTCTGTTTGGCTGAGGCTGATGGCGGATGAAGGCTTGGCTCTGCTGCTGCCTTAAAAAGGGCAGCAGGCTGCCTGATTTACTGGGACTCACTGTGTAACACTCCACACAGCCCTCTGCACAAGGCCAGTGT